CTTGCCAAGTTTAGAAGTAGAAAAGTAAACTAGAGCTATGCTGTACCCATTGAGGGGTTGGATAAGAAACAACCTGCTGCTCATCTTCTACTAAGGAAATTAGTCAGAGAAGTTCAGCTCCCAGCTTCAGAAATCTCTTTCCGATGGTAACTTCATCTATGAGGCAAGCCAACACAGGCAAAATTACACACACACACACACACACACACACACACACACACACACACACACACACACACTGCCTCTGTGCTTGCAAACAGAGGTTTTAATTATTTTCTCATAATCAATAATCTCTCTGTCATTACCACTTTGCCGTTGAAGCTGGAGCTGCTTCTAGTTGTACACAATTGACATCCAGGGTTCCCTTCTCAGCCCTCATTTACTCAGAAACTGGACGTTTTTAAAGGTAAGAAGAATTGAGTAAGGTTTTGTCAGCAAAACTACAAAGTGGTTGTACTGATGATTACAACCATAAACATCTCAGGGAGAAGACAGGAAATGTTCATTTGAGGAGCTATGACTTCAGTGTGGCTATAGCAAATAATTTGGTGAAGAATTTATAAGAGAAGGAAAAGAAGGAAGAGGAGTGGTAGGGGGAGGAGGAGCAGAAGAAAGATGACTTAGCCCAGTGCCAGTGGCTCATGCCTACAATCCTAGTTCCTCAGGAGGTTGAGATCTGAAGGTTGCAGTTCAAAGCCATCCTGTATAGGAAAAGCCACAAGAACCTTATCTCCAATTAACCACCAGAAAACCAAAAGTGTAGCTGTGGATCAAATGGGTAGAGCACTAGCCTTGAGCACAAAAGAGCTCAGAGACAGAGCCCAGGCCCTGAGTTCAAGCTCCAGACTAACCTACCAAGAAAAAAAAAGATTTTTAGAGGTGCCATCAATAAATATACATTGTATTTATAAACGACTTGGTGAATGGCTTCTTTGTACAACTACTTAATATAATTAATTTTTAATTAAAAAATAAAGATATTTTTTAAATGAAGACTTTTGAAAATGTCTGAAGAAATTCTTACTTTCTGAAAGCTGTCAGCATTTAGGAGTAGTTACAAATTAGGAGTTTCTACAATCCTATATGTAAGTAATACAAAATTCTGCTCTTGGCTTATAAACAAGAGAGGTAAAAATGTACACACACACACACACACACACACATCATCCACAAATATTTATAACAAGATAACAGATAACTCATAATGACTTAACAACAAAAATAACCTAAATGTCTATCAGTGGGTGAATGGATATACATAAACCTTAAAAACAAGCTAAATAAGTAAGAGAAGCCAATTACAAATCCACACTTTTCCATATATGGAAACACAGCGGCTGCATGGACTGGAGTGAGAGCTGGGGAGAGTGGGCAGGTGAGCGCAAAGGCACAGGGTTTCTTTATGAAAATGGGGAAACACCAACTATGTGATACGTTCCCTGCTCAGTGACCATAGCAGACATTGAACTGTACACTTTAAGTGGTTAAAAGTGTACAGTACTAAATTATATCTCAGAAAGTGATATTTTAATTTAATAAAAATAACTCACTTGAAACACTGACTGAGTAGCATCCGTCCTTGGTACTGAAGCCTGTAAAATGAGCTTTTAATTTATATTAGCCAAAGACCTGGGAGCCATTGAGAACTAGCGTTTTTAAAATGACAACGGTAGGCTGAGGAAGCTCCTACTACCACAGAGACTTTTCTAAGATAAAACTAGGCGAAATACCAAAAATGCCACTACTGAGAAAAGAGAGGGAGGCAAATCTGGAGGCAAGTTGACTCTTGGAAGGAGGGAAGCCACAGCTGACAAGTCAGAGGGAGAAATGATCCAGTCTCTACTAGAAAGCTCCCTGCTTCCACACTGAGGCCTTTCTGACATGCTGATTGGTCATCCTCAGACATGAAGTGTTTTTCCTTCCTTGGTTGCATTGTTGTTGTTGTTTTTTAAATTTTTCTGACAGTCCTCAGGGTCTGGGTGGTAGCCCTGAGCTTCCTTTGCTCAAGTTTAGTGCTCTACCACTTGAGCCACAGCTCCACTTCCGGCTTTTTTTTTTTGGTAGTTTAGTAGAGATAAGAGTCTCATGGACTTTCCTGTCTGAGCTGGCTTTGAACTGCCATCCTCAAATCTCAGCTTCCTGAGGAGCTAAGATTTCCTTGTTTTTGGGGTTGTTTTGGTTTTTTGTTTTTATTTTTTGTTTTGTTTTGTTTTTATTTTTTATATTTTTTATTGTGAAAATACTGTACAGAGGGGTTACAATTACATGGGCAAGATAATGAGTACATTTCTTATCAAGCACTGTAGCCTCCTCCTTTGTTTCCCCTTCACATCCCTTCCCATCCTCTCCCCCATCCAAAACACCTCCCCCCACACCAAAGTTGTAAAGTTCATTTTCGACATAACAACTTGTACGTCTCATTGTTGCAATGGGTCCATTTGTATCCCTATTTAAATGATTTGTTTTTTCCCTTCCCCTCCACAAAATATAACAACATCAAATACAGTGAAAGCAGGGATCAAGAAAATGTGGTATATATACACAATGGAATTCTATGCCTCCATCAGAAAGAATGACATTGCCCCATTTATTAGGAAATGGAAAAGCCAGGCCCAAAGAAACATAGGTCCCATGGTTTCCCTTATTTGCAATAACTAGTACATGTCTGAGTCAAGCAAAAAAGGTCAGATAAGTTGATGTTAGGGAAATGAACCCTAAGATATGTATTCAAATGTTTTTTCTTTCATGCGATTGTTTCTAACACATTTATAAGATTATTTCTTGGCTTTTGTTTTTATAATAAATCCTGTATTTCCAGAATCCTTTCCTTCTCTGATCCTTCTTCCTACATCTCTGTCCCTCCCTGCTTTGTCCACCCTGTTCAATACTAGCATCCTCCAGAGGTGTGACTTCAGCTTTGAACTGATGTAATTTTCTTTCACTTTTCATTGACTCTTGCTGTGTCAGCTACCCCAGAGACCCCCATATCCTTCCCAGGAGGCCAGGGCTCCCCTCTTAGCTTCCCTTCTGGATGCCTCCAGCTACCAATAAAGCCAAACACTATATGTAGTCACCATTTACTTTAAGCGTCCTTAGAAAGGCAACATGGTAGAGTTCTTAAATCCACCTTTTATTTGGTCAGGCCTACACTATTGACTGTATTCAATGTAAGTGTGTTTGCACTGTAATTGGCAAACTGTAATCGTCCTCCAGTGTCTCCGTAAGAAACCAAACCTCCAATGTGCCTTCCATCTGCCTGCAGCCAACTCCTCCACATTAACGTCCCATATTAGCAGATGGCACCAACCCGGAAACCTAAGCATGAAATCCAGAAGTCAGACTTGATCTTTTCTCCTTCCTCACCTCTAAGCCCAACCAGTTCTTGACTTCTGTTGATTATAATGTACCAATGCCATATGTCAAACTCTTACCTCCTTAATTTACATTCCAGTCAGAGCCCCAAATTGGCCTTCCTGTTTTTTGTTTCTTTAGGCCTCAAATAGAGTAATCTTTTGCAAGCACAAATATGATCACATTTCTTTCTTGGAAAGATCCTTCAACAATAATTTACAACCAGAGCAATGACTTTCAAGCAAATAAATATAGCCCTCCCTCCACATCACCGATTCAACCAACTACAGATGAAAGGTGTTTGAGGCAAAAAAACAATGAAATTGTATCTGCACTGATAATGTAATTTTATTATAATTAACAACTGAACTAGATTATCATGGTTTTGCTATTTATTTCTCCATTTTATTCGATCGCTGTTATGGTTGGTTTAAATTGTCCACTTGATTGGATTAAGAGGCACCTAGGAGATTTGTATAGCACAACTCTAAGAATGTCCGTGAAAGTGTTTGGAAAGACCGAAGACCCATCCTGAATATGAGTAGGACCACCCAACGGGATAGGGGTTCATATGTCATCCTTAAAAAGGGGTGAAGGGAGCTCTGCCCCTCATACGCTTGTACCCTAATGCACCAGTGCCTCTGAAACCATGAGCCAAAGTAAATCTTTCCTCCCATGAATTGTTTTGCTCAGGTATTTTCACAGTGATGAAAAACTGCCTAATACAATTACATGTATTCAAAGAATTGGGAGTCATATTCTCAGCTGCCAAAGGCCAGGGCTTGTTATTTTTTTCCTCCCACAGTTCCTTCAAACTTGGTCTGTTATTTATTTAAAGAGAGATAGCAAGATGCAAATAAATTAACCTGTCAGAATACATTACTTGGTTGTTGAGCTCTGCTTGGTTAAAAATTTAAGATGCAATGTTTAAAGTGTGTGTTGAAGATCTACTTTGTAAAATGAAAATCAAAGAACACATTGGCACAATACTTGAGCTTCCTCCTCAGAACTTGAACTCCTGACATAGATTTTTGAAAGCCAATGATCTGGGTGAAAGCCCACAGTCCTTATAGGCAAGATCCTGTCATTTGGATTGTATCAATCTAGCAGCATTTTCCACCATTGCCAAATGATCACCCATCTCCATCTTTGATGGAGTTGCTATTTTTTTGTACTTGCTATTTGCTCTGCCAAATATTACCCCTGATCTACCGCCTTCTAACCTGGATTTCTATTAGCTTAATTACAACCGTTAAAATGTTAAACCCTCTCTACCTCATATATAGCTCTGTTTTGCACGCGCCCTCATACCTAATCATCTTTTCCTTTCAAACTAAACACTTATGTGCTTAAGAAAAAAAAAAAGAATTTAACTGTCTCTGAGTTTTCCAGGATGTTTAAGGTGCTTGCCATCTAGCACTCAGCCTCGAAATTGTTTTTAATTAATCACTTCATGAATTGATGATATGAATAAAGATAATCAAGGGATTCCCCTGGCTGAGGCTGCAGATTTTTGTCAGGCCGTCCACAGATAACTTTCTTTTTGTTTTGTCCCTTGAGGTTAATTAAATGCGAAGTCGCAATCACCCTTATAAATCCTGCCGAGTTTAATTTTGTCTTCATCTTTCTCGCCTGGTGGCCTCACTCACCAACAAGGGAGAGCAGGATGACGAGCAGCACGATGAGGGCGCAGATGCAGGGGATGAGGACCAGCAGCAGGAAGCGGAGAAGGTTAGGCACCGGCACCGCCAGCTTCTGAGAACAGCCATCACCCATGTTACTGTCATCAGCTCCCAAGACCTATCGTCAGAGGGGAAAAGGAAGCCTGGTTTTAATATTACAAAGCACTTCAGTGCACCGTATCAAATTTTAGAAGACAGATTCTGGCGATCAGCCTTCCTAGGACATTTTACTGCGTGTCATCCGAGGTAGGAAGTGAGTTCAGTCACAAGTCACCATTAAACTTGTATACATAAAGAGAAAAACATCTATGTCTTTCTTTTTAAACGTAGTAGATAAATTGGGCAATAGTCCAGCATTGATTTCTTTTCTATAGATACACACATATAAATAGATATATGGGTGTGTTTATATATTTATATGTATATTATATATATATATATATTTCAAAGAGTTATACATGATCATCGCAAGAGCTCACCTTAATCCAGAGATGTAAGCAAAGATCTGATTGTCTATGGTGATAAAACACTTGTGAGTAAGCATAGACAGGACATTCACTAGACTTCGTTATTATTTGTCTCTTTAGTTCTAACTCAAATCTGGATCACTCTGGATCAAATGAGTTTTCAGCCATTAATAACTCAGCAAGGTTACCTACTGCAGACCAGATATTCAGCAACAGGTTTAACAATGAGAAGGAGGCTGTCCTGATGGCCAGTTAAAAACTGGAAGTACCGAGGAGATCCTGTTGCTCCCCTAGCTAACTTTACATCCCACCCACTGGCAAAGGATCATACTCCGGATAATGTTCCTTTTTATACATTATATTTTTATTGTCTTTAGGTAGTTGTGCTAAGTTGTTGGCAGTAAATGCTCTTGGTTCTTTCTCTTGCCAGAAATTGATTTCCTAGTCATTGGTGAAAATATTTAGAACAGAGTATAGCATTCACAGGTCAGGTACTTGTTGATAAATAGTTATATTTCACATAACTCTACACTATTCCTATGCGTCCCTAGTATTTCCTCCATTATCTCTTCTTCTGTGCATATGGAGATGTTCTTTGCTACAGGATTCTAGATAGTGAGGAGTCATTGTGAGTTTGTCATGCAAGATTGTTATTATAATACTCTTCTAGTAATGTTAGGAGTCCAAGGAAGATCATAATCCTTCAGCTCGCTGGATGTATTTTTCAATTCATGTCTTCTAGCAGACCTTTTCAGGTATACATGTCTCTAAATTTTTGCTGGCTCAAGTACCCTTCTCTCTACAATGTCTTACCTGATCAGCAATAAATTTTATTCCTAATTTCATTCCTAAACTATATTCCTATCCTTTTTGTGCCTATTGGTACTTCAGCAATGGCAGTCATGGTGTATAAATGTGACATTTTACCCTTATATTTCATTAAATACTGAAATGATTATGTTCTCAAATACAGTTATGGGCCATATTGACACATGGCAGTCAATACAAATTTTGGATGCACAATTATTACTAGACAGAGATTATTCCAATTTATATGCGCATGTGGCAGAATTAGTGAGAATTATTTTTGCTTCAAAGTTTATGACAGCACCAAGCTAAAATATCAAAACATCTTAAGCCAAATCAAAAGGAGGGCATGTCAGGGAAAATAGTGGCAGAATACAATGACCACCCATCCTCTACTACAGAACTGAAAACAATTGAAAAGAAAAATTGCACCAAAGCAACTCTCGGTGAGGATTTGAGACAAATTTAGCACATTTGTTCTTTAGGTAGGAAGATAATGAACTGCAAACGCGTTGTACTCTGCTGCTTCAGCAGAACAGGGAACAGCTTGCAACAATAATAGGTCATTCCTACTATTATGGCCTGAGCAGGACACAGACGTGTCCTTGAAGCTGTGGGGATAACACACTGACATATTACTAATATACTCAAAGGCGTAGGGGGGAAAACGAAGAAACTAGGGCTCCATTTACTGCTGCATGCTCAGGTTGGAGCATTTCCTGTACAACCATCATTCCAAAATATGTCTTGAATTGTCTCAACATCAGAGTAGTTTTTCTCCAACCTCTCTCTACAATGAGCTCACCAAATATTCACAAGGCAATCCTTACCCCTGTAGTTAAAACAAAAACTCATTTTCTACACTGTTCTTAATCAACCATGGAAGTGTCCCTTCCATGAACTAAAAGTAGATTTACTGAATTAAGAGATCAATAACTTTTCCAACCAAGCATCTGTCAATTCTCTATAATATTATGTTTCACTCCATCAATAAGCAGAAGGCTTCCAAAAATCATCCATCAGTGAATTATGCCAAACACAAGTGTCTTTTGTTGTGAAGCTTGTTTTCGAATGTCCTCAGAAGCATAAAGAACGAGCATCTGGTTTTCAGTAAGTCTTTTTCATCCCATTTTTCTTGTATTTAATTGAAGCCTGTGAAGTTCAAATAACCCATGCTCTCTCTCAAAATGAAATTAATCAGTTCACACCAGAGCATATGTTCTCAAAGCCAATCTTACCCACAGTTTTTCTTTCAAAAATTAATACAATAACAACATTAACCAGATAGTTCTCTCGCAAGTTCTCTCACGAGTTTCTTCATCACACATCCCAGAATGGATATTCCACAAAATGCCAGCATAATATTTACCCCTATCAAAGAGATGAATATTAATCATCAGATACCCAAACAGCATGTCATATTCATGTTTCTGTTTTGAGGGTTGCATATATTCAGGGAAGTCTGAAATGTGAAAGAGTACATTGGAATGTTTCAGAGGCAACTTGGACAGTATTGTCTCCAACCACTAGAAATCCCAGCCAACCTTACAAAGTCATCCCCTCCCTTCTAACCATATCTGAATATAAGGGACTAAAATAATGCATGCCTTGCTCCAACCACAAGTATTCCAAAACCAAACATGAAATTTGTTTAGGAAAATGTCATTTAGAAAAAAGTTTCTCACAGGTCAGAAAATTTCTCAGAGTCATGATTCCTCTCTTAACACAAGGCCTGGCGTTTATGCCATTCAGTTCCTGGGAGGAAAGTTATCATCTTTACTGAGATGTCATCAGAGGCCACAGAAGCTTCGTTCAGCCTCAGACTAAACCTTGTGTTCTTCCGATCAAAGTGGGAGGGTCATATTTCTGTAATAGTTGCACAAGATGATCTTGGAATGAAACAACAAGCTCTTTCTTATTGCAACAAGGAAGATAAATAGACTCCTGGCCACCTTTTTAGAATGACTGCCCTCAATCTCAACTGTGTCAATGTTATCATTTTATGAAAGACTCAACCCTTAAATAATAAAAAAATTCCCCTGTAAGACAGATACAATATCTGAACTCTTTCTGTATGTGCTAGAGACTTCTAAAGGTCATTATTTTCAAAGTATATTTTTGAATATATACATTAATGGCAAAAGGAAAAAATTAGGAAAAAAAAGAAGGGTTGAGTTATTCATCCCTTAGGAAATTAAGTAATTGACATGTATTTATTTTTTTAAAGTTTTAACATTTTTCGTATCCTATGATGGGTTACATTTCTAAGAAAATGATGACAAAAGTCCAAAAGAGCCTAATGTATTATGAAATAAAGTCAAACCTATTTTGTTTACATAGCCCAAAACAGGCTGTTGAATTTGTGCAAATCTTAAGAGACCTAAGTGACTCACAGATCCTATAACAAGGGACATGTTATGACGTTTTAAAATTGAAAGAGATTTGCAAAGTGAGTAGAGATCTAAAATGTTGACTTTCTACAGCTGAAAATAATCAAGGGGAACATACAAGACAAAATGGATTTTATGCTCTACGACAGTCCATTTCAGGCCTTTCGATGCAAAGTAAAACATAAACAGATGTTTAAAGCAGTTAACCTGCTGAAAGGAATTCTGCTGTTCCAAAGCTCCACTAAAGGATGTTATGTATTAGATGAAGCAATCATTTCTATCTGAAATACCCAGAGCAAAAGGATGAATTCCAAACCTCACAACTCATAAGCTCATAGTGTTCCATGAATATTCTAGTTGAGAAACAGAACTTCTGTGTTGAACTTCCCGTGACAAACACTGCATGTGAACATCTCACTAGCTTGGTTTCTTCCACAAATGCTAATTTAGCACCTATTCCGTGCAAGCTGGACTACCTGGTATACAGATGAGGAAGATGTGACCTTCACCCCTCAGGAAGTCAAGATCCGACCTCCAAGGAGATACAAAGCCTTCGATACACTTGGAATGAGAACAGTGATGCAGACAGCAATGCAGGTATATAAGAACTAATTAAAAGAAATCAACCATAGGCAGAGTGCACTTCTGTACCAAGATAGAAAGGTATCTTTGAGCATTCATTCCAAATCATCTTGTAGCACTCATGCATGTGGTGGTTTGAGAAGGAAAGAGTTTAAGGGAAGAAATTATATCATTGGTATTTTGATAAGGACAATTTTTCACTGTTGGAATTCTCCTAAAGCCTTTCAGGACATTTAGTATCCCTAGCTACTAATAATAATAAATGCCAGCATGAACTCACATGAGCACATACTGCCAACATTATTGACCAACAAACAGGCCATGTTTTACAGTGTCCTAGTTGGGACATCATCTACCCAGCATATATCAGTCATTTTTATTCTCTGGATATAAGACACAGTCCTAAGCAAGCCAGCCCGTGGCACTTTCTATAGACATGCATTAATATTAGGTCTTCAAGTAAGAACTGAAGATTATCTTTTCTCTACAGAGATGGCAGATTTGTTTTTCTTCAGTAAGCATTATATCTTTTCATTGTAACCATTACTTCCCCCTGCCACATCAAACAACACAGAATCTTATTGTCAACGTCAGTTTTTAAAAAGTGATATATTAGGGCTGGGAATGTGACTCGGTGGTAGAGTGCTTGTTTAGCATGCATGAAGTCCTAGGTTCGATTCCTCAGTACCACATAAACCAAAAAAGCCGGAAGTGGTGCTGTGGCTCAAGTGGCAGAGTGTTAGCCTTGAGCAAAAGAAGCTCGGGAACAGTGCCCAGGCCCTGAATTCAAGCCTCAGGTCTGGCAAAAAAAAAAAAAGTGATACATTATTAAGTCCTTTAAGACCTAACAACAAGCCAGGTTGTGGC